GTTGGCTGACTCAGACAGCAGTTCTTAGATGCAGAAAATAAATTATTAATTCTTTAAGCCATCGTCTTTTTATTCTCGTAGATGAGAGCAGTGGTGGTGGATGGTGATGGTGATGATGATGAAGATTTTATCTGCTTCCATAGTTATGCACCTAGTCTTGGGTAGGCCAGTAAGATGACTTGGGCTGGATCTCTCCTATCCTCAGTATGATGCAATATTCTCTTAAGAGCAGATTTTGCAACTGTAACATGGTTATTATTATTTAGTTTTCTTTTGTATAATGGTCCCTAAGAACATTGTGAAGACATGAATCAAGATATGAGCAGGTCTGTGTTTCAATTTTATCATTATGGCAGTCCAAATTCATCTCACTCAATTTTGTTGGTTTTAAGGTAGCTGTGACCTTTTTCTAAATCCATAAATAAACCTGGCCATTGCATCCAATATTTTTATGAAAGCTTTATTTGGAAAGAACATGGTTTAAGAATGCAAGAAATGTTTGCAGATACGATAAAGATCCAGCCAAACCCTAGTGATAGGTGAGTCAGTTTGATCAAGTTTGATCATGTCATCATTCATTCAGTTCTACCAATCTTTATTTATTTTTATTTCCAGTCTTTATTTCCAACTTCTCGGGGGGGTGGGGGTGGAACCTTTGTCTTTCTCATAGTTCAGGAGAGAAACATTTGAAAAAACAAATCGTAAAAAGTTAGATCCCAGTAATTTTTGATAGTTACTATAGAAAATAAGGAAGAAAGAGTAAAACATGGAAGAAATTATTGCAGATAGGACCAAATCTCATTTGGTTCATTATTTGTTTCTTACACAAACATTTATACCACTCCAGATTGCTGGCACTGAGCAATTTATAAAAATTTGTTTGGGTAATTAAGGTTAGAAAAGGATGGTGTAACCCAAACAAAGAAAAATTAACAACAGTGTCAGCCATTTGTTTCAATGAAGGCCATTATTTTGGAACAATTGTTCCATTCCCCCTATACCCATGATGGTGAACGTATAGCATGTGTGACACAGGTGGCACACAGTGCCCTCTCTGTGGACATGCAAGCCGTCACCCCAGTTCAGCTCTGCCGCGCGTGCCTCCCACCGGCCAGCTGGTCATCATGTCTCTGCCGCGCATGCACATGGGGCGGGGGCATACAGGGGGCCACGCACGTATGCATGGTGGGCGGGGCGTGCATGTGTGGAGGGACAGGGCACATGCACATGGGGTGGGGGGCATGTGGGGGGTATGCTTGCATGTGCGGGGACAGGGCTCATTGCATTTGGGGGGTTCGGGCACGTTTTGGGTACTCGGTCCGGAAAAGGTTCGCCATCATGGCCCTATATTCTCCTACAAAGCTGGGTCTTCACAGTCTCCCAGAATATTAATAGGTATAAGGCTATTCTTGCCTCTGGGATTAAAACTATTTCAAAAGAGAAAGGTGCTCCTGCGACTGAAATTTGAAATTGGACTTTGGCCGTGGCTCAGCTTCTACTATGGATAGGAAATTCATGTTGGAGGACATTTTGCAGTGGATTGTAATTATCTTTTATTTCTGTTCTGTGGGGTTGGGGGAGAGCAGTAGGAGAGGGAGAGAACAATCCTTTAAATTGCAAAGACTCATGAGGTTAAAACGCTGGGTTGACAATCAGCAAGCTCATGTTCGAGACCCATTTCTGCTGTGGGGCAGTTTGAGCTCCTGTCACACACTCAGCTCCTGCTGACCCAGCAGTTTGAAAGTGGACAACTGCAAGTAGTCCCAAAGGTGCTTTTTCAAGAGGCAATTGGATTTTCTGGTTTTTCTTTGAAGACATTTCACTTCTCATCCAAGAAGCTTATTCAGCTCTGAATGGAAGGATTTATGCTTCTTGCAGACATCCTTCCATTCCCCACCATCCAGTCAGAAACTTCTTGGATGAGATTTCTGGGAGTTGAAATTTCAATGTTGAAAGATACTTGGTTTGTTGGTTTGTCTTCTTGTTTGTTTAAATCAAACATTAGCATAGCCCTTTAGCTAAGGGGGAAGGATGCCAATGATGCTGACTGTTCTATCTCACCATTCTAACAGTTTCAGAACAACTAATCAGTGGAACCACTTGCCTCCAGAAGTTGTGAATGCTCCAACACTGGAAGTTTTTAAGAAGCTGTTGGATAACCATTTGTCTGAAGTGGTGTAGGGTTTCCTGCCTAAACGGGGTTGGACTAGAAGACCTCCAAGGTCCCTTCCAACTGTTATTCTATTCTAAACTCAAAATGACACTAATTTTTATACTAATCCTTCTATATAATTCTATCTTAGATAATATGCTCAAAGCCTCAGGAGCTTTAAGGGCAATTAGAGGTCAGTAAAAACAACATTTGAATGGTGCTGTGAAGAAGATTCACGCCATCATTTATGTTCTTAAAGGTGTTCTTGTAACCTACTTCCAAAAAGAGGTCCAAAAAATGTATGGTGTACAAGAATGTTCTCCTAAATGTTTAATCTATATTAATTATAGATTACCAGTCAGTGGTAGAATAAGCAACATGACTAAGCAATGAAAGGACTTTTTAAAAACCTCTTTGTTCATAATTGGCATGCTTTTTATATTGCAAGATCCGATCTGGGTTGGTTTTAGCTTCTGAGATGTTCAAAATGGACAATATGAATGTTTTTCTTTTTTGTCAAAGAACAAACACAGGTAGTCCTCAACTTACAGCAGTTCACTTAGTGACAACAACAAAGTTACAACCACACTGAAAAAAGTGACTTAGGACTTTTTCACACTTAACGACTTTTCCAGCATCCTCATGATCATGGGATCAAAATTCAGACGCTTTGCACCTGGCTCGTATTTATGACCGTTGCTATGTTCCGGGATCATGTGATCACTTTTTGAGAACTTCTGAAAACCAAAGTCAATGATTCAGATTCACTTAACAACTGGGTTACTAACTTATCAACTGCAGTGATTCACTGAACAACTCAGGCAAGAAAGATCTTAAAATGGGGCAAAATTCATTTAACAAACGTCTCACCTAACAACAGAAATTTTGGGCTCAATTGTGATCGTAACTCGAGGACGGCCTGTTCTGTATTCTTCTCAGCCTGCTGTTCCTCATAATACAGGTAGTCCTTGACTTAGAACCATTTGTTTAGCGACTATTACAACAACAGTGAAAAAAAGTTATTTATGATTTGTCCTTGCAGTTACAACTGTTGCAGCCTCTCCCATGGTCATGTGTTAAAAATCTGGGCTCTTGGCATCATGTGTCACCATTTTGTGACCTTCCAAGCCAGCTTCTGACAAGTAAAGTCAATAGCATGTAAAAAATGCAAGTAGAAAAATAGGGACCACCTTTGGTGGGAAGGTAACAGCATTCCTTGCGCCTTTGGCGTTTAGTCATGATGGCCACATGACCAAGGAGACGTCTTCGGACAGCGCTGGTTCTTCGGCTTAGAAAAGGAGATGAGCACTGTCCCCTAGAATCAGGAATGACCAGCACATATGTGTGAGGGGAACCTTTACCTTTACCTTTATTAATAACTAGGCAAGGCTTCAAAATTAAATTTTGAATTTTTATTTATTTATTTATCTATTTAAAAGATTTGTTTGTCTGGATATCTTAAAACCACAAGTCTGGGCAATTCACAACATTGACCTAAAATCAGACATCATAAAACAGTAAAAGAAAAAAAAGTAAAATAAATGTGCCCACTAGTCCAAAAGCCTAATTTTGCTTTCCAAAAGTGAACTTTTTTTTTTTGATAAATTAGCAGAGAAAGGAAATTGATGTTAGAGGTGGATAATGGATTAGTTGTGGCCTACCTTATTTAATTCTTTTAACAAAAATTGAACAGCCATGTCTATAAGGGCACCCTTGTTTACATTCTCCTGAGATTTTTATTAATTATTTGCTCTAAAGATTTTCCAATCGTACAAAAATAATTTTTAAATCCGAAGTGGTCAGAGTTGTTGGTATATGTTTGAGTTATTTTCAGTAGGTAAGCAAAACTTTCTGACTCCCAACAATTTTCATACAGCAAATAAAAGTCAGGTTAAAAGAAATCTCTTTCTGCTTCCCATTTTATTTCAATCTCTCTATCTCCCACTTCTTAAATGAAGACTAATTAAGCTTTTTTTTCCCCCCCACTCATTTCGATTGAGAGATACCTTGAATTCTCATCCTAAAATCATGGATTATGTGATTTTTAATTCTGCACATTCTAAGGTTGCTGGGTTGGAGAAAGGTAGAGCTGAATTTTATACAGGCATTAATATGCTGTGAGTTAGAATCCCTTCTCTCTTACAATTATGTTTGGAAGAGTTAGCGGTAAAAAGGAAAACAGACCATCAAAGAGCACGACGGCCAGACATCATCAAAGCTGATACCAGCCAGATCATAGAAAAATCAACAAAGCAGTGCAAAATCGGAATATGCGGAGAGACCTGGCCCATAGAATCACCAAAATAGGACATGACAATATGGATATTCTATATAGAATTCTATAAAGAATTCTATATATAGATAACATCGCTATCTCCCACAATGCAAATGACTGTACATATAGCTTATTGCAACACATGGCACATGGGATATAAGAAGGAATTGCTTTCCATTATTTTTATACATACATAAAAACCAGGGGTGGACTCGACTTACCTTTACTACCGGTTCGCAACGGGATCGCATGCACGCGCACGCTTCTGTGCATGCGCAGATCATCTATGACGACATCTGGGTGGGTGGGCGGAGCCTCTTGCCAGTTTTACTACCGGTTCATAAGAACCGGACCGAACCAGGGGCAACCCACCATTGATACAGACATATATAAATACATACATACAAACATTCTTACCTGAGCTGCATTTTTACTCTTGGCCCCAGTTAGCAAACTGGATAAAGGAACTCTTAACCAGTAACCCCCTAAGCTTCCAATCTGCCCAAATCATAATATCCCACATTTAGATCTTGTTTTCCTAACTCTCGCTTCCTAACATGTCTTGTTTGGCAGGCAAAGCTTTGACCTATCTTCTGCTGCAACCTCCCAGTCCAAAGCTTCCTCCTCACAGCACCATTCGAAGAACTGCCATTGACCTCATAGGAAGAGGGTTTACAGTGTGGGAGCCTTATATGGACGTGTCTGCTGTGCTGATGGGCCTTTTGGAACTCTGTGCAGATGCCGAAAAGCAACTTTCAAAGTAAGCATTTATCCCTTATTTGATTAAAAAAGGAAAAATGTTTTATGTATGATAGGCCTCCCTTGTTTTTCATGGGGACATTTGCATTACATTTCCAATAGTCCAATTTCTGATTGACTGTCACTTCCATGAGCACTTTTCACCGGTGCTTCAAGACTCTTCACGGATTTCTCATTTGCTTCTGGGTAAAGTTCAAATTGAGGCCTTTGAACTATGGTACTGGAGAAGACTCCTGCGAGTCCCTTGGACTGCAAGGCGATCAAACCGGTCAGTCCTAGGGGAGATCAACCCTGACTGCTCTTTAGAAGGCCAGATCCATAAGATGAAGCTCAAATACTTTGGCCACCTAATGAGAAGGAAGGACTCACTGGAGAAGAGCATGATTCTGGGAAAGATTGAGGGCAAAAGAAGAAGGGGATGACAGAGAACGAAGTTGCTGGATGGAGTTACTGAAGTAGTCGGCGTGAGCTTAAATGGTCTCCAAGGGATGGTAGAGGACAGGAAGGCCTGGAGGAATGTTGTCCATGGGGTCGCGATGGGTCGGACACGACTTCGCAACTAACAACAACAACAAAAAGTTCAAAGTGTTCATTTCAACCTACAAAGCCACATACGACTTGGTTGTGCCAAGCTACCTTCAGAACTATCTCTGCAGCCAGAATTGACTCAATTCATATGTCCTGTAAGAAACTCCTTATCATCCCCATATTACAGGCTGAAGTGGCTGAAGCACCCCTCTATTATTTTACGTGGAGGTATCAATTTATCTGCGAGTAAATAAACTTTCCTAAACACCAAAGGTGTTGCTTTGATGGGAAACTTACTGTGTTCTGTACTTTCACGCTGACCACATTTTGACAGAAGTATCTCTCAGACAACACAGGCTACCCTGGCCCCCTTGAGTCTGAGATGAACCCCAATCCCCTTGAGTCGGTCATGACTGGATAGGGGAAATCCTGAAACCTTTATCTGTGCTATGGGACACCCTTTCAGTTCACATCTGTTTAGTCCCCACATTGTTGGCTTTCTGGAAAGTCCAAGCTTGTTCTGGAGAACCTCTGGTAGTTGAGAAGATGCTGATCTATGGTAGCTTGTTTTTATATTCCATATTTTTTGCATTTTATATTGGTGAATTTTAGGACCTTTTATCTTCTACCATGGATTTTATTGTGTTATTGCTTTTTATTGTAACCTATGAGAATCCTGCTGTTACAGAAGGAGAGGAGGAGGACTGAAAACGCTCCTTATGGGTTGAACCATTTCTACCTGTCAGAAAAATAGGATAAATGGATAGGGGCTACTTTGACATTAATAATAATATCCAAAGGTAAAAAAAATACAAATCCACTGTATGCCAGCCACATCCAGAAATCTGTTCTTTAGGCCACAGTCAATAAACCCTGAGGTCTAGCAAATTCAACATACAAATCCATTGCTGGTTGAACAAATTGTGACTTCAGTAAAGCACAAGCATTTATACCCTTTTAGGGTGTAATTGTAGGCATCTACTTAAAAACACAATCAAAAGGAAAACAATCTTGGTTTACTCATTTGAAGTACCCTTCTCCAATTGAATTCCAGTGTTATGTGTCTTATTCATTCCTTTCCTTCCACAGAAAATTTAGTCATGCTATCCTGGCTTCTAGGAAACAGTTCAATCCTACATTTATGGTTTAGACCAGGGGTCTCCAACCTTGGCTACTTTAAGACTTGTGGACTTCAACTCCCAGAATTCCTCAGCCAGCTGGTTTAGACCTGGTTTTAGACCTCAGCCTGGTTTAGACTTCATAAGATTGGAGACCCCGGTTTAGATTTTAGACTTCATAAGGAAGCCACGATAGCTTTATGAAATCAGCCACGATAGCTTTATGAAATCAGAAAGAAAAGGCAGAAACAAAGAGAGACCATGTGAATACATTAATCTCAAACAAATAAATAATGGTTTATCCATTTAATTTTGCATGTGAGTTGAGACAAGTAGGGAATAAACTTTTCATATCCCCGGGAGTCTAAACTGCACATTCCCTGTATCTTTTCTATTTTACTTAAAATAGAATTTGCTTCATCTTGTTTGTTTTTTATGGCACGTCATTGTTATTTTGTTAAATATAGCAGTAGAGAAACTTCTCTGCCTCTCTCTGTTGTTTTATATTTATATTTGTTTCATGACCTGCAATTGGATCTTGCTCTGTTAAGCCCATTAATTCATATATACATTGTGGCTGTGCTTCGGTGACAATGAATATGCATATTTACTGTCAGGAGAAATTTATAAGAATCTGTCCATCCTTTTTTTTTCTATTAAAAATACACTCAAATCTGTTTGAAGTAGTTAAATTTTAGCGTGAAGCAACATAACATTCTACAGAGGATGAATAAACCCACAGAGATAAGTTTTGTGGTATGTGTTATTTTCTAAAAATGTTTTCTTTAAAAACAAGAACATTGTTCTAGATTACTCTTTCATGGAAATATAATTTAAAAATCAGATTAATGAAAGCTTTCAAACATCCAGAGAGCTTCTGACTTCTTTCAGAAAAACTTCAGTTGACACTCTGTGTTGAAATTCTTAAAAGAGCTATTGTTTTGACCTTTTAATCGAAAATTTTACATATTTATATTCCAACATGAAACTATGGATAACCAAACCACAAATAATTGAGCCTATGAGACTTTGGGAGTGGGGATGGGTTAGATTCTGGGGGCCCATGGTTGTCCCACTCCTAACCCCTCTCTCAAGTACCTCCTTCCTCTTCCTTCTGTAGAGGTTATCTGTTACAATATCTCTATTTATTATTCCTTCTTACTTATTTGTGGCAGGCTTCACTGAGTCAAATTAATTGTGGGGTTCTGTAGAGCTTCCTTGTGAATTGTTTTTTTTTGGGGGGGGGCGTGTGTTAGGGTTAGGGTTAGGATTTGTCCTTTGACAATCTCACTGGAGGCATCTCCAAGATTGTGTCACTGGATGCTGGTGTTGCCTACAAATTGCTTGTGCAATTTCTGTAGAGCAAAGAATCCAGTATGAACCATGGGGCTTAAGCAGAACAGCTCTTTCCATACCAGTCTGGCTGGCCACTCCAAAGAAGACCAGCTGTCGCAACCAACAATATTCACTGCAAACAAATAAGGAGTAGCAAACAGAGAAACATAACAGAGATAATTTAATTGCAATCCTTAAAAATAGGTTTAATGCATGTGGTAAAGCAATCCCTGCAGGTATGGACAAAGTAGTGAATATAAGAAAAACCAATACAGATATATAAACCTGATCTTTGTTTACAACTTGAGATATGTGAAACAAGGTATATTAAACCTGTGGATAAGATCCATCTATGTATAATTTGCAGAAAAGTTAAAACCCATTCCATTTTATATATGGAAGAGTATATCAGATGTATGAAAAGGGTCATGATCTATCATTACCCTTTACTTTATTAATGTGATAGCACAGTGGATATAATCATAAACCAGGATCGAAACTGAGTCTGTTTCCAAAAACTTGTTAATGTTATTGTTATTAACTTGGTTAATAACAATAATGTTATTAACTTGGTGTAACATTCTTCTTGTGTAGGCTAAAGGTAGATGACATTATGAATGATGATTATTTTTTAAAAAAACTTACCATAGCAATATTTTTTAATTCAGAAAAAGTACGATAAGAAGAAGAATCTATTTGCAATAACAGTTGAATAAAATTCACACGTTTTAATTTTTCAGTAATACTGGCATAATTGCATGTATTAGTGTGTTTTCTTACTAGTGTAAAATCATACCTGGATAACTTCTTTTCGCATTTAATATATGCCTAATGCAACCATAAAATTAAATATGCATTATGTCTAATGCTAGAACCCAATCAGAGGATTTTTAAAAGTAGTAAAAATTATCCTGGCCCATGTATATAAACTTATTTCAGTATCATCTCTTAAGATGTACTGCCTTGAAACATGTAAACATGAAGTATCTGATAAATAGGCAAATCTAAAAAATGATAAATTTTTGAGAAGAAAAATCAATCAAACTATAAAATCAAAAGAAACAAAGAATTTTTCATAAACAAAGATATAAAAATATTGTGCAGTTATCACAGCGATTAGATGTACCAAGCCATTCCAAAGAGTTTTCGGCCTAATTGTGCAAAAAATATATTTTTACTTAAGTATCTTCCTGCTTTCTGGAGGGAGGAAGGAAGAATTAATCATTGTCCTTCTGCTCACATCCTCTGAGCTATGAAAAAATCCTTTCCATGATGATGGTAATAAAAGCCTTTTAAAATTATCATTCTCTGTAATTTGAATTATCTGAGTGCTTAACTCTTACCTAATAAAACATAAAAATTTTGGTCAATTTTTACAATACTAGATAAAAGACATAATGAAATATAATATTGAAATGTATTTTGTATTTTAAAAGTAATATTTCCCTCTAGGAAATTAGGGAGGAGAAAGTCATATGCTGAGTTTTATTTCTTTCCCTTTCATTCCTGCACAACTAAGATGTGCCTCATCTTTAGATATTTGTATCTAATAAAACACAGTTTTGATTGTTACCAGATTTCTTCAATCTGTTCTAAAATGTCAGAAAACGTTTTAAAACCTCAAGTAAGTCGGGTTTTTTATTGTGGTTTTCTTCATTGTCTTCCAAAAATGTATTCAAGCCCTGATGTTCAATGTTAAGCTTCTTTATCTAAGAGTTCTCCAATTCAGCTAAAGTTTTTGCCAACATAGACAACTAATATAGCTTATCTAATTTGATTCTTTGTCCCTTTTCTGAATTATTTAACACATAGTACAATGATGCTGCTCATTAATATTAATTATATTTAAACATTCTATCCTGATTTTTAGCATATGCTCAGAATCACAAAACAGGAAATAATGCATTAAAATGCAATATTAAAAATAAATTTAAAAGAGTCACGAAAGTAGAAATCATTAAGGTCATTATAAACATTTTGAGTAAACTAATGTAAAATTGAAGATTATTGCCTGGATCTC